TGTGACCTATGAGGAGATATACTACACTCCAAAAAAAACTATTTTCCAATTTATATATAGAGAAATTTGGGGGTTATGTGTAGACTGGGTCATAAAAGGTTGGGATCATGGTGGATGGAATATAAAGTTGGATCAGACAGAATTTATTGGTATGGGCCCACTCAGTAGAGACTCCAAATCCAGTGTTTGGGATTGAGGGGTTAGAAGTCTTTAACAGTTTGGTTGGTTGACTAAACCATGGACCCAAAGGTAGCCTACACAAAATGAAGTTAAATGCTAGAACTGCTTTGGTATAATATAGAGGAAGGTATCCAAAAGCTTAGGGAGATTGGTATGTTAGAGTGGACTTATCATGTAAGACCTGTTCACCAAATCCGGGAGGGTCAAGAGGGCACACCTTTTATCACCACTGTGAGAAATTTGTGAGGGGAGCCTCAGTATCCTTGAAGAGCTCTGTGGTCACTCTTCTCTGTAGGTCAAACATTACTGTAGGAACTGCAGCCACCAAACTGGGATCCCTGGTGCAGTAGGGATAGTGGGATTTCGGAGTGGCAGGACAAGAGGGGTGTGGTTACCATAACTGGACAGCTAAGCCAAAACCATAATCCCAGTAGTCTGACTCATAGAGACCTATGGCATCTGGCTAGTAGATCATGGTCCCTTTGGGGAAGACTGAGTGAAAGATTAACAGTAAAATTTTTACAGTATAGCAAGGTCCTTCCTCAAAGGGACCTGGATTCCACTTCATTCAAGAGGTCTTGGTCTGTAAATTGCCTCAAGTCTGGGAATTGATTGAAGGGCCATTATGACTCTGTTTTGGTGATCTAAGATCCATTACTGTTAGCTCAACCTAAACTCTTATGCTTATACAGAGGTAAGAGTTGGTGTTGATCCATGGGCTGTGGTCAGTGGTTTGGCTGGATGGTCAGAGACTTGAAAGGAACATTATTGGGAAGTTGGTGACAAGGATGTCTGGGGAAGAGGTAAATGTACAGACCTCTCTGGGCAAAAGATATGAAGATATTTGTTTTCCATATTAATGATCATCAGAGGGTAACCTCACCATTCAATAATTCACTCACTCATCACGAGGGCATGATCCCATAATCATATGACCTTTGAAAAACGTGGGAGTTAGGGGCAGTGATAGTCCGTTCTGTTGAAATCCACCTGTAACTTTTGACTCTCCCCAAACTTAACTACTTACAGTCTGTTGTTGACTAGAAGCCTTCACAATAACGTACAGTTGATTAACACATGTTTTGTATGGTATATGTATTATATACCATATTCTTACAATAAAATAAACTAGAGAAAAGAAAATGTTATTAAGGAAATCATAAGAAACAAAAAATACATTTACAGTACTGTACTATAAAAAAATCCAGGGCGCCTGGGTGGCTCAGTCGGTTAAGTGGCTGCCTTCGGCTCAGGTCATGATCCCAGGGTCCTGGGATTGAACCCCGCATTGGGCTCCCTGCTCAGTGGGGAGTCTGCTTCTCCCTCTCCCTCTGCCTGCCTCTCTGCCTACTTGTGCTCTGTATTTCTCTGTCAAATAAATAAATAAAATCTTTATTAAAAAAATCCACATGTGGGCGCCTGGGTGGCTCAGTTGGTTAAGCGACTGCCTTCGGCTCAGGTCATGATCCTGGAGTCCTGGGATCGAGTCCCACATCGGGCTCCCTGCTCAGCAGGGTGTCTGCTTCTCCCTCTGACCCTCCTCCCTCTCATGCTCTCTCTATCTCATTTTTTCTCTCAAATAAATAAATAAAATCTTAAAAAAAAAAAAAAAATCCACATGTAAGTGGATCCATGCAGCTCAAACTAGTGTTGTTCAAGGTCAACTCTGTATATTCTTTGCTGAGGTGTCCGTTCAGGTCTTTGGCTCATATTTAAATCAGGTTTGTTTTCTTATTGTTGAGTTATAAGAGTTCTTTGTATATTTGCTTAATAGTCTTTTCTCAGATATCTTTTGCAAATATTTTCCACCAGTCTGTGGCTTGTCTTCTCACTCTTTTTACAGTGCCTTTTGCAGAGCAGAAGTTTCTGATTTTAATGGAGTCTAGCTTGTCAGTTGTTTCTTTTATGGATCATGCCTTTGGAATGTATCTAAAATGTCATCACCATACCGAAGATCATGTAGATTTTCTCCTAAGTTATCTTCTAGGAGTTTTGTAGTTTTGTATTTTATAGTTAATTCTGTGACCCGTTTTGAGTTAATTTTGTGGCTGTAAGGTCTATGTCTAGATTCATTTTTTGCACATGAATATTCAGTTGTTCCCGCACCATTTGTTGAAGAGAGTGTCTTTGTGCCATTGCATAGCCTTTGCTTTTTTGTCAAAGATCAGTGACTCTATTAAGATGGGTCTATTTCTGGGCTCTCTGTTCCATCCTATTCTATTTGTCTATTCTCTCACCAATACCATACTGTCTCGATTACTGTAGCTTTGTAATAAGTCTTGAAGTTGAGTAGAATGTATCTTCTAACTTTGTTTTTTTCCCCTCAATATTATCTTAGCTATTCTGGGAATTTTGCCTCACCATATAAACTTTAGAATAACTTTGTCACTATCTACAAAATAACTTCTTGGGATTTTGGGGGGATTGCATTGATTCTATAAATCAGGTTGGGAAGAACATAGACTGTCAGATCATCTGGAAACAAACACAGCTTTATTTTCCTTCCCAATTTGTTTATCTTTTATTTGCTTTTTGGCTTATTGCATTATCTAAGACTTTCAGTACCATGTTGAAAAGGAGTGGTGAGGAGACAATCTTGCCTTATTCTTGATCCTAGTGGGCAAGTGTCTAGTTTCTCACCTTTGAGTATGATGTTAGCTGTAGGTTTTTTGTAGATACTCTTTTTTTTTTTTTTTAAAGATTTTATTTATTTATTTGAGACAGAGAGAATGAGAGACAGAGAGCATGAGAGGGAGGAGGGTCAGAGGGAGAAGCAGACTCCCTGCCGAGCAGGGAGCCCGATGCGGGACTCGATCCCGGGACTCCAGGATCATGACCTGAGCCGAAGGCAGTCGCTTAACCAACTGAGCCACCCAGGCGCCCGTAGATACTCTTTATCAAGTTTAGGAAGTTCCTTTTATTTCTAGTTTACCAGGAATATCATAAATGGTGTTGGATTTTGTCAAATGCTTTTTCTACATATATTTATAGGGTCATGTGATTTTTCTTATTTAGCCTGTTGATGTGATAGATTACATTGATTTTTTTTTTTTTCTATGTTGAACTAGCCTTGCATTCCTGGGATAAATCCCACTTGGTCTTGGCATATAATTCTTTTTATACATTGTTGGTTTTGATGTGCTAACATTTTTGAGAATTTTTGTCTCTGTGTTCATGAGAAATATTGGTCTCTAGTTGTTGTTTTTTAATATTTTTTTTATTTATTTGAGAGAGAGACAGAGAGAGCATAAGCAAGAGGAGGGCAGAGAGAGAGGGACAAGCAGACTCCCTTCCAAGCAGGGAGCCCAACGTGGGGCTTGATCCCAGGACTCTGAGATCATGTCCTGAGCTGAAGGTGGATGCTTAACTGACTGAACCACCCAGAGGCCCCTCTAGTTTTCTTTCCCTGTAATATCTTTGTCTGGTTTTGGTATTAGGGTAGTGCTGGCCTCATAGAATGAGTTAAGAAATATTCTGTTTCTGTCCTCTGAAAGAAGATTGTAGAGAATTGGTATAATTTCTTCCATGATGATGTGGTAAACCCATGTGGGCCTGGTGCTTTCTGTTTTGAAAGGTTATTAGTTATTGATTCCATTAGATATAGGTTTGTTCTCCAGTGTATTTTTCATTTCAGAAATTGTAGTTTTCATCTCAAGAAGTTTGATTTGTCTTTTTTATATCTTAACTATTTGAACATATAAAATGTAGACATAATAACTGTTCAAATGTTTTCCTGTGCTAATTCTAATAACTCAGTTCTAGGTTGGTTTTGATTGGTTAGTCTCTTCATTATGAGTATGTTTTCCTGCTTCTTTGCATCCTTGGTAATCTTTGATTAGATGTCAAACATTGTGAATTTTACCTTGTTGGTTGCTGGGTAGCTTTGTGTTCTTACAAATTTTTCTGAGCTTTTGGGGTACAGTTATATTACTTTGGGGCTTTGCTTTTATAATTTATTAGGTTGTGTCTGGAACAGTGCTCAGTTAAAGACTAATCATTATTCCCCACTGTGGAGATAAGATCACCCTGGAAACTCTACCCAATGCCCCGTGTGTTATGAGTTTTTCAAGTTTGATTGGTGGGAACAGGCACTATTCCCAGCTCTGTGTGAGCATAAGGCACTGTTCCTTGTTACCCATTTTGATGATTCTGTCCCTAGCCTCAGGTTATTTCCTCAAATAGGTACACAGTACTCTGCTGTGTATCAGAAGGAGACCCTCTGTGGATCTCCAGGTTTTCGCTCTTGAATAGCTCTCTGCTCTCTGGTATTCCCTCTACGAGCTCTAGTTGCCTTTGTGTCCCTGGACCTTCAGCCCTGTCTTCTTAACTTAGGGAGTCTATCAGGCTCTACCTCAGTACTCCTACCTTGTGCTCCTGCATGGAAACTTACAAGGCAGTAGGCTGGGGCAGTTAATAGGGCTCACTTCATTTGTTTACCATCTGTCAAGAATCACGGTTTCTCATTGCCTGATGTCCAGAGTCATAAAACCCATTGTTTTTGTATTTTGTCTGGTTGGTTGGTTGGGTGATTTATCTATTTATTTGGTTGTCTAAGGTAAGAAAGCTTTTGTACTTGGATTCTTACAGCGAAACCTTTGTATCTGTAACCAGTGGTCCTTGCCATTTGAGAGGCTGTATATTTCTGTGAGCTGTAGAATAAACTCCAGTCAGCCAGCAGGGATTTTTGAGGCTATTCTAGGGGTGTTAAACTGATTTCCTGACTCTCTTATTTCTGGGAATTCCTTGAATTATTTGGGTCTAGAAGCTAATTCTAAATAATGATTTTATGAAATTCCTAACCATTACGATTTTATTCTCAGAATTAAAAAAAAGAAAGAACAGCAACGTTATGCTGAAGAGCAGAGGATACTAAGAATGAACTTTCATGAAGAGCTATATTCAGGGGAGAAGATGAGTGACACACTAGCCCAGCTAAAACTTGAGGAACTAAAAGGAGCCAGAGAAAAACAACAACAGAGAGAAAAGGAATGCCAAAGGTATTTTGAAAAATTCTGCATAAAGTCCTGGCTCTAGAGGAATAGCACTGTATTTCCCCCTGTGCTGTTTCCCATTACAAAGAGGAAGAGTTGAGGCACGGAGATGTGAAATAGTTTTAACGGTTAAAGCTGGTAGTCAAATAAGGACTCATGCTCATTCTCTTCCTAGTGGTTAACTTTGCCTGATCATATTGTATCTTTATAGATATATTGAAGCTCTGCGAGCCCAGATCCAGGAGAAAATGAGGCTGTATAACATTACTTTACCTCCACTATGCTGCTGTGGTCCTGATTTTTGGGATGCTCATCCTGATACCTGTGCCAACAATTGTATTTTCTATAAAAACCATAGAGGTAAGCTTCTTAAAGGAATGGTTGGGGTCTGGTGGCAATTAAAAAACAAAACAAAACAAAACAAAAAAACCACCAAACAATAAATGTAGTGATTATAGTAAGTTAGCATTTATTGAGTGTTTACTGTATATCAGAGATTGTTATAACTCCTTTACAAAACAACTCTGAGACAATGAAAATAATTATAGTGAGTTATAATCCTTTTTGAGATCTGCTCTCTTCTGTCTCCATTAATGCTGGGGAAATATTTCTACTCCACTGTAGGGGGACTTGGCTTCCAGGTCCTCCTATAAATGAAGAAGTTAGAACTTGTGTTTTATGGCCATCTAAGTTAGGCCTCTGTCCAGCTGAATTCCCTGTTACCCAAATACTTTAGTGTTACTTAACATGTCCTCATGGAGTGCTTGGCATGTACTAAGTACTCAATAAATATTTATTCAATGAATAGGCAAAGTTAATACTATGAGACTTGTAGGGAAGCAGTACTAATGGGAAGGAGGTTGGGAGAGTGAGTAGTTTAGAATCTGACTTCATTCATCACTGTGCAAACCTTTATTTGCAGCATATACCCGGGCACTACATTCGGTCATCAATTCCTGTGATATCCCTGAGGGGACCTCAACTGTTCGAGTTGCCATGCATAATTTGGCTTCTGCACACAGACGGACTTTGAAAAATCTATAATGAGAATCTGAATCCAATTGTTAGTATTTCAATCTTCACTTAAAATCAACCCTGAGAGATTATTTAGGAAAAGCTGTTAAAATGTATAAGATGTGTAATCTGGAAAGAAGGACTGTCCCAACGTGACAACCATCTCTATAATTAGATCATAACCATTGTTTCAGTCTCTGCTTGGACTAAAATTGAAAGTTGACCTCTAAACTTGTGTTTTTGCTGTGAACTGTATAGTCTGTTGTTTTAAAAATGATCAGTCAGACCAGTAAGGTTTTTTTTACTTAGCTCTGCTCTGATCAGAGGAGATCATGAGAAATCTTTGAGATTATCTCATTTATTGTCTTTCTAAAAGTGTATCTTTGAATCTTGACAAGATTGAAAATGTCTAGATAAAGCCGAAAAGATGATGAAATGAGTTTCTAAGTATCAGTGGCCATCTATATTGCTGATAGCTTTTCTAGTTGTGTATGACAATTAGAGGTGAGAACAATCTGAATTTGATGCACATTTTTTTTCTCAAGATTTTTCTCTCCTGGTTTTTTAACTTATTACCTCTTTCCCCATTCAGTGACATTGGACTTAGGACTTTTTAATTTTATAATTTTGTATTGCAAAAATAAAGTGAATAAACCTTCTGTCTTTGGAGCATCTTCTATGTGAAATCATTGTGAGTGACATTTCAAAAAGTAAATCTGACGTCAAAGTGAGTAATCAAGTCCTGCCTTATTTATCCCTATCTTTTAAAAATCTGGTGAATGGCATAGCTACCAAGCAGTTAGTATAGTTAGTATTAGTATGAATTTGTTATTTCCTCACAGTATTTCCTGACACATAATATGAAAAAGTTCAGAATTGGATTAAAGATACTGAGAATTCCTTTTTCTTACTTTTCTCTAATGGATCAGTGTTGAAGAAGCACCTAGGTTACGTCTCAAAAAACTCCTAAGCATCTAGCCAGGTCATTGAAAATAAAAGCCAAAATTACCTGTATGACAAGATTGACTGGTTATTTAACCAGATTAATAATCTAGTTCAGTCAAAATCTTTAAGTAATTATATCCACGATTCAGCCTTTAGGAGTTGTATTTTTTTTAACAGTTTTATCAAGATATAATTTATATACCATATGATTAACCCATTTGAAGTGTACAATTCAGTGGTTTTTAGTATATTCTAGGATTGTGCAACTATCACCACTGTCAAATTTTAGAATAATTTTGTCATTCTAAGGAGATGCCTCCATAATCCAGCAATTCCACTTTTGGGTATGTATCTAAAATAATTGGAAGTAGGATCTTGAACAGATATTTGCATACCATGTTCCTGGCAACATTACTCACAATAGCAGAGAAGTGGAAGCAACCCAGTGTCTGTCAACAGATGAATGTATAAACAAAATGTGGTATGTATATAAATATACAGTGGAATATTATTCAGCCTTAAAAAGGAAAGAAATACTATCACATACTATAATATGGATGAGCACTAAGATCATTCTGCTGAGTGAAGTAAAGTCACAAAAAGACAAATACAGTATGATGCCACTTACATGAGAACCTAGAGTAGTCAAATTCACAGAGACAGAAGGTAGAATAGTCATTGCCAGGGTCTGGGGGGAGAAGGAAATGGGAAGTTGTTTAAAGGATAAAGTTTCAGTTTTGCAATATGAAAAAGTTCTGGAGATCGATTTTACAATAATGTGAATCTACTTAATATTACTGAACTGTACACTTATACACAATTACAGTGGTTAAGTTTTAGTTGTGGCTTTTTTTTTTTTTTTTTTTTAAAGATTTTATTTATTTATTCATGAGAGACAGAGAGGGAGAGAGAGAGGAGCAGAGGGAGAAGCAGGCTTCCCGCGGAGCAGGGAGCCCGATGCGGGACTCGATCCCAGGACTCCAGGATCATGACCTGAGCCGAAGGCAGTCGCTTAACCAACTGAGCCACCCAGGCGCCCCGTGGCTTTTTTTTAACCAAAAAAAAAAATTTTTTTTTTAAATTTTAAGAAGAAAAATTCCATACCTATTCCATACCATACACTTTCCATTCTGTCCTCGCTAAGCTTTAGGCAATCACCAGCCTACTTTCGGTCTCTGTAGATTTGTCTATTCTGGACTTTTCATATAAATGTTTATATATAGTTTTTTGTGACTGGAATCTTCTGTTTAGTATAATGTTTTTAAGATTTTTCCATGTTGTAGCATGTATCAATACTTCATTGCTTTTTGTTGCCCAGTAATACTTTACTCTATGGATACCACATTTTATTTACTCATTCATCAGCTGAACATTCGGGCTGTTTCTACTAATTGGCTATTATGAATAATGCTGTGATGAATATTTATTGACAAATTATTTTGTGGACATGTTTTCATTTCTCTTGGGCATATACTTAGGAGTGAATATGCTGGGTCATATGGTAGCTCTTTGTTGAATCTTTTTTTTTTTTTTTTTTTAAAGATTTTCTTTATCTATCTGTCAGAGAGAGAGAGAGAGAGCACAAGCTGGGGGAGCGGCAGGCAGAGGGAGAGGGAGAAGCAGGCTCCCCGCTGAGCAGGGAGCCTGACTTGGGGCTCAATCCCAGGACCCTGGGATCATGACCTGAGCCGAAAGCAGACGCTTAACTGACTGAGCCACCCAGGTGCCCCTTTTTGTTGAACATTTTGAGGAACAGAAATGTTTTCCAAAGTGGCTGCACCATTTTATATTCCTACCTATGGTGTATAAGGGTTCAGATTTCTTCACATTTACCAACATGTGTCCTTATCTGTCTCTTCGATTATGGCCATTCCCCTGGGTGTGAAGTGGTATCTCACTGTGGTTTTAATTTGCATTTTCCCAATAGCTAATAATGTTGAGCATCTTTTCATGTGCTTATCAGCCATTTGTATATCTGCTTTGGAGAACTATCTTTTCAGATCCTTTGCCCATTTTGTAATTGGGTTATTTATCTTTTGATTATTGAGTTACGAGTGTTAGTATATTCTACAAACAGGCCCCTTATCAGACATACGGTTAGCAAAGATTTTCTCCCATTCTGGAGATTGTTTTTTCACTTTTTTAATGATTTCCTTTGCAGCACAGAAGTTTTTAATTTTGATGAACTCCAGTTCATCTACTTTTTCTTTTGTTGCTTTAACCATTACCTAATCCACTACCTAATCCTAATATACTCCTATGTGTTCTTCTAAGAGTTTTATAGTTTTAGCTCTTACATTTAGGTCTGTGATTTATTATGAGTTAATTTTTGTGTATGGTGTTAGACAAGGGTCCAACTTCATTCTTTTGCATGAAGATATCCTGTTGTCCCAACACCATTTGTTCGAAAAACTATTATTTGCCCTATTGAATTGATGTGACACTCCTGTCAAAAATTAGTGGACTATTGATGTAGGGGTTTATTTCTGAACTCTCAGTTCTGTTCTGGTAATCTATGTTTATCATTATATCAGTACAATCTGTCTTTTTTTTTAAGATTTTATTTATTCATTTATCAGAGAGAGAGCATGCACAAGCAAGGGAAGCGACAGGCAGAGGGAGAAGCAGACTCCCTGCTGAGCAGGGAGCCCGGTGTGGGACTCGATGCCAGGACCCTGCGATCATGACCTGAGCCGGACGCAGACTCTTAACTGACTGAGCCACCCAGGTGTCCCCAATCTCTTGATTAATGTAGCTTTGTAGTAAGTTATGAAGTTGGGAAGTATGAGTCCTCTGATTTTGTTCTTTTTCAAGATTGTTTTGCTCTTCTGAGACCCTTGCATTTTTCATATGAATTTTAAGATTATCTCCTGCAAAAAAGCTAGCTGAGATTTTTTATAGGGATTGCATTGAATCTACAGATCAATTTGAGAGCTATTGCCTTGTGATTCATGAACACAGGATATCTTTACATTCATTTAAGTCTTCTTTAATTTCTTTCAGCAATGTTCTGTAGTTTTCAGAGCATAAAGTTTGTACTTATTTTGTTAAATTTATTCCAAAGTATTTTATTCTTTTTGATGCTGTTTTAAATAGAATTGTTTTGTTAATTTTATTTTCAGATTGTTCATTGCAAGTGTATAGAAATGTAATTGATTTTTGTATATTGTATTCTGCAACCTTCTTGAACTCTATTTTACTTCTAATAGTTTTTTAAGGGGTTTCTTGGGATTTTTTTTATATAGAGAGAGATAGTTTTTTCTCTCTATCTGAATGCCTTTTTCTTATCTAATTGCCCTGGGTAGAACATGCAGTACCGTGTTGAATAGGAATGATGAGTGACACTCTTGTCTTGTTTCTGATCTTAGGGGGAAAGCATTTGGTCTTTCATCATTATGTATGATGTTAGCTGTGGGTTTTAATAAAGCCTTTTTTTTTTTTTTTTTTTTTTGAGAGATTGAGAGTGCATGAGCAGGGCAGGGGGGCTGGTGAGGGGTGAGCATCACAGGGAGATAGAGAGAGAGAGGATCTTAAGCAGGCTCCACGCCCAGCACAGAGCCTGATACGGGACTTGATCTCACAACCCTGAGATCATGACCTGAGCCGAAATCAAGAGTCAGATGCTTTCCCCACTGAGCCACCCAGGCGCCCCAGTAAAGGCTTTTAATAAAGGGCTCCTGAATGCCCTAATTTTTTAGTTTGGGGAAGTTACCTTCTGTTACTAATTTGTTGAGTTTTTATCATGAAAAGTTGTTTAGTTTTATGAAATGTTTTTTTGCATCTATTAGGATTATTGTATGTTTTTTGTCTTTTTTTCCTATTTAATAAGATGTATTACATTAATTGATTTTCAGATGTCAGACCAACCTTTTTCTTCTAGGATAAGTTGTATTGGTTCTTATTTGTTTGGTCTCGTACAACAAGTTTTTTGCTTGTTCTATTTTTTTAGTTTGTTTATCTGAGATAGGTGAATTGACTTGTCTGACATCAAGTTAATAGTGAAATGATGATGGGATTAAATCTTACATAGGATTAAGCAGCTTTTAAGTCTTCTTCCTCTAAGTTCAGTCTCTGAACGTAAGTCTCGCCTGAGTATGAGTATGTTTTTACATTGTAATTTGGTCATATGTAAACAGAGCTAATGATTTATTTTTGCAGGGTTAGAGAATCCTAGGCTAGGTAGCAGCTACCAAGGAGGAAGCCTGAGTCTCATGACCCTTACTGATGATAGTGTGGTGAATCCTGTTTGAATTGATGGATGTACTTTGGAAAGAAGCCTGGAATCTAAGAGTTCGCCTGAATTTACAAGTTTGTGAAATCACAGTTGGGAGGACAAATTCTCTAAGTTTTCTAAATGAGCAGGGACCTATAAAAATGAAGAGAACTGAATGTAAGAAGTGAGCCTGATTGAGATAGATTTTGATTTTGGGGGGGGAAAAACAGAATTAAATTTGGACCAACTATTTCAAATGGGATAGATGGCAGGCATTTCAAGTAAAAAGCAACTAAATAAGAATGAAGACTTTCCTAGATAATTATTTCTTTATTCTCCTCAAACTTCCTCTAGGTTTTCCCTATTACTCACCAGTTGGTAACAATGCTTCCTATTATCACTGAAAGACAAGCAGTCAAAAGGGAGCTTCCCCAAGCTCCTACCATCATATCTACCTACCTACCTACCTACCTACCTGTGTATCTTAATTCTTGTTAATATGGATAAACTATTTA